CATGCTGGTGCTCCAAAGCCACCGGGCTCGCTCCATCTCTTCACACTTGCCGTGCCGAGCAGCGAAGGCCGAATCAGACAAGTCCTCGATCTGCCAAGGGAAGGGTACAGGGCTTGGTCAGACCTTTCTCACATCAAACACGCACCGACGTGCAGTTTTTCCAGCATCAGCTACAGCATGACGTTAAAGAAATGTTTGGGTCTGGAGGGAAGCAGATGACACCAGTGACAGCAAGAGCACCTTGTTAAACGGAGTCTGTGCTGCTTAGGAAGAGATTGAGACCGGAAAACCGAAAGGAGAGCCACTTATCCCAGAATGAAAGCGCTTGCACAGAGGTTTAAGGAAATACCATCATTATCAGTTTAGCTAAAATAATAACTATAGCTGCATGACTGGTCATGATTTCTTGATTAGACTATTCCATAAAAAGATTGCTGCCCAGGGAGGTCTCCTGGCAGCAATTAGACCTCAGATTCAGCTGTGCCCAGTCAGTTAATCCAACTCCTGCCTTTATCACGCCTTTCCTGAAAAGGAACTGGCACCGGGCTGGCTTCTGCAAGGCCAACTGTGCCGTTCTGCTGCAAAAAAGGAAGAGACTCCACACCTCCCTGCTGAGGTCCCTGCGTCCGCTCCCTTCCTGCGTCCTCCATGGACACTGCTCAGCTGCCACCGACCCCGTCCCACATTAACTTGGAAATAAAACTCTTCTTACCTCCTCGTTGTCTTCATCAGGGTTCGCTTTCAGAGCGCTGATATCCACTTCACGCCAGCTGCAACACACAACGTCAGAGGGCACTCAGCCACCGGCACGGCCCAGCGCGGCCGCACGCGCCCTGCATGCACTAACTCCGTCTTTTGGGAAAGGAAAAACACGAGCCTGCCACGATGAGCAGCCTACTGAGGCTCAGTTTTAAGCCAAGCAGCCACGTTTGTCTACCAAAACCCCTCCTGTGCTATCAGACAACAGTTTCTCCCCTTCCCCTGTTATAGCACCCACTGAGTGCAACGTGGGGGGACAGGCAGGAGACGCCCTTCCACGCTGGGAGGGTGAGGAACGGAGAGCCAGGCTGCCAGCATCCTCCCTTCTGCCTCCCTGCCCAGCTCCTGGCACCGCGCTGGCAGTGTGGCTGATGCCTGCCAAGGGCAGAGGAAGCAGAGCAGATGCTGCAGCGTTTCCTCCTCTTCCTCTGGCTCAGCAACAGGCTCCCTCCCTGTCCTGCTTTGAACAGGGCCTGGGAAGAGCATGTAGGACCAGGAGAAAGAAAGAGGTAAGTTGGGAAAGAGACTTGGAGAACTGGGAGGAAAAAGGAGGACTGGAAACTGGGCAGTTTGGATGAAGAAGCTGCACCAGTGCTGCAGCAAGTCGTCACACTCCCACCGAGCACTCAGGTGTGAAAAGCAGTGACTGATCTCATCCACGGTGTTAATCCAGGACCATCCAAACAAGGGCTGATGGCTCGGCTCCTGGCACTCAGCTTGGGCAGAGAAAACCACTGATTCCTCCCACCACCCAGGCGTGGGAGCGCTGCTCCTGGCCACTGTGACCCATGGCAGTGCCCCTCCTGCACTGCAGTGTTATCCCAGCCCAGGCACCCAGCACAGACACGTGCAGAGCTGGGAAACCACCAGGACCTCTGGCTCAACATCCTCAGCACCTCTGCAGCAGGACAGAGGACAACCACGACAACCAGGACAACTTTAGATTGCACAAAGAGACCTGAGCAGGGCAGCTGGCTTTCACGCACAGAGGACACTCAGACAAGGTATTCCCTAACTCAGCCAAGTCTGCAACTGTGATATGATCACAAGTTTTCCAAATTTTCTCCTACTTTCAAGGAAGAAGAGAGCCCCTTTCCTCACCAGCACTAGCAGCCACTGGGAGCAAAGCCCTAGGCCAGGGCTGAACTTCTGACGGGACAGGTGCACAGGAAAAGCCTGGGATGTGGCATTCCCGCGGGAGCCGGGGGTCAGGCACGTACCTGGGCGTGAGGATCTCCTTGTACTGCAGTTTCTCCACACGAGTCGTTGCAGCAACAGACATCGGGATGACAATGTTGTTAATATCGAATGAACTTTCGCCTCTCCTCCTCCTTGGCTGCTGGAAGATGAAGACAAGAACCAAGTGACAAAGGGTTGTTGGTTTTGTCACATTAAGTCATTGATGGATGAAGGATGGAGCCTCATACAAAAGTATGGCCTGTGGAGACTCCAGAACCAAGAGCAATTTGCATCAGAATGGAGTTCACCTACTGCTTGCTGGAAGCCCTCTTCCCACCCAAAAATCCTTAGTTTGGAGGGCAGGAACAAGGGCAAGGGCTGCAGTGGTCCTGCAGACACTGAAGCAAGGTGAGCCAGGGCTGCTGAGCTCCAGCCACCACCTCCACGCTGGCACCAGCCGCCGCAGAGCCAGGCGGATCAGGAGATTCATCCAGCTGATAAACTGACCATGCAAGAAGAAAAGTTTCCCATATAATCCAGTTCTCCATCGCCAAGGCAAAGAAAGGAGTGAGACAATCAGGAAAGAGGGAAGACCCATCCTGTTTGGAAACAGCTCCCGTGCTCTTGTCCCCACCGCGGGTGACGCTGTGGCAGAGGAGGAACGTGAAGCCGTCAGACAGGAGTTCATCTCGGGTCATGACAGCTGTACCAAGAGCCCAACAGCTTCCATCTGTATCGCGCTTCTGACTGGAATAGATTTTCTGAGACAGAAATAAGCTCCACACTTCTCTTTTTAAACCTGGTTGAACGCTGGGTGCTCTCCTACCATCTGTCTATCCAAAATCCTCCCCCAAACCTGTGACAGCAGCGCTGCCGGTTCAGTGACACGAATCCTCACGGAGCAGCCTGACACACAAATGGCCCATCTTCCCAACGGAACCACGTTCTCCGTCTCCTTTGATCCCTGTGGCTGTTAGTGTAAAACCAGGTGGGAAGACAACTGCCAGGGACCTGCCACGGCCAAACCCCAGGATCCGTGTGGAGCCGGATGAGGACGGAGCGGGTGGGCAATTATTGCCACAGCAGCAGGGAAATGCCAACGTGTCACTATCAACAGTGAGGCTGGACCCACCGGTCGAGGGGCAGAGACAAACTGCCAGATGGCGATGCCTGAATCCAGGACCTGGACACTTGAGCGGAGAGACCAGACCTGAGCACCCACAATGCTCTTGTGGGACTGGGCCCTGGAAAGGAGGATCCTTGATCCTGCTTTTCTGAGTGAGCTTGTGAAAGAGCACCAGGAGGAGCAGAAAGAGAAGAGCCAGAGATGTGCACAAAGCACAAGGAAATGTCACCTTGATGTGCTAGAGCGGCAGAGAAGAGCCGTCCTCTTCTCCAAAACACTTAACGCGTTCAAGTTGAACCACCACTGCTTGATGGGTCCCTCAGATACCATCACAGGGTGCTCTGCTGATGTCAGAGGTGACAAATTCTGCAGAAAGAACCCAGCCGGGAGGGGCCTGGGAGCCCCTGAGCAACCAGCTTGGAGCAAGAACAAGGGCACATGAGGTTGAGCTGGAAGCGGTGCCCTCAGCTCTGCCATGGACAGATGCCTCTTAACCACCCTGGTTTCACCATCGGGGTCTGAGGAAGTCTGCTCCGTTACCCCTGGGGCACATCCAGCTTAGGCTGTGGCACAAGCTACTAACTGGAGTTAGGACAGGCTCTCCACTGGGACACTTAGAAGTTGAGCAGAATTCAGTCCTTTAATGGAGAGCTTTTGTTAAGGTGGGTCAGGCACCGAGAGGACAGATGACGTTGGCAGAGGAGCTCCGTCATCGATCCCCAAGCACAGTGGGAGGGAGTGATGGCCCTGCTTGCTGACGGCTTCTAGACTCAGCTAAAGGTCCCAAATCCCATCATCCTTCAGCATCTGGGAGGCTGAGTGTGTCTCAGAGGACAGCACGACTTAAGCAACTGCTGAAACTTGCCTACAGGTGAAAGTTAAGATCCTGGCCACCACGGAGGGACCACCGCCCTGTGACTCAGCCCGGTGCCACCGAGCCCACAAAGGCAAAGCTCTCTCAGTGGAAGCACCGCTGTTCCAGCAGCAATGCTGGTGTTCAGCTCTTCCACTTCTCTTCCTGGCATCCCCAGACAACTTCAGAAATCAAAACCCAGATGTGGAGCAAAGCCAGGGGACTACTGAGAACAGGAACATTCACAGCAGTTACAGAGCTGACACCAAACCTGTAATGCAGCTGGCTGGCTCTCTGCACAGCCAAGGTCAATCCAGGAACCCCAGCAGATCTAAAGTCAGAGGTATTTTTTTAAAAAAACAAAGGACCAGCAATCTTACCATCAGCTGAACCAACGGGACCACCATGGTAGGAGAGACACTGAGCGCTCAAGCTGAAGATGCCTGAAGTTCTCGCTCAAAAGCAGAGACCCCGTGGTGGAGCTGAGCTCAGAAACCTCTCCGGAAAGGCAGTAGATACTTACAGCTGTGCTGGAGGTGCCCTGTGAACTCGTGCTGGCTGGCGCGGAGCCCTCCGAGGAGGTGGACAGCTGCCGTGCTATCGGGCTGTGAGGTGTGGGGGTCGCAGCTGCTGACAAGTAGCTTGGGCCACCGACGTCCGCGTGGTGCTTCAACACTACACAGGGAGGGTGGGAGAAAACGAAGAATGACATTAGTCAAAAAAAAAACAACAGAGGAGAGGTGGTGGCGGTGGACAGAAAAGGACCATGTGCACCAGAAACGGCCAGTGTTGAGGAGCACTTTGCATGAAAGAGAAGCACCTTCTGATGGTGGCTGCCAGCTTGAGAGGTCCTGGGGGAAGAAGCAGTTAGAGCATCGCTGCAGTGGCTCCGAGGCCCAGAAGCAGTGCGTTCCCCCTTCTCCGAGGCCGGAGGGGGAGAGAGGCTGGATATGCAGCAAAGCCCAAGCTCCCCCCGAGAGCCCTGGCCGTGGCAGCCTACCTTCACTCCTCTCAGACGAGCAGTCTCGCCATCGCTTTTTGTCATGGGCAGGAGGCTGGACAAGCGAGCGCTCTGGCGCTCTCTCGGCCCGGGACACGGCCGTAAAATCGTCTAAAGGCGGCCCGTGTGCCTTGTCTGGTTGGGATTTTTGATGTGAGCGCTCTGAGGAGGGGAACAGAGAAAGAGCTATGAAACGCCTGTTTTCACCTCTCTTTCTGTTGGCACTGGAGGCTCGGGCAGAGTTTACCAGCTCCATAAATCCAGACAGGTCGGGCTCGACACCATCAGGGCACTGGAGAGGGGTGCTCAGAGCAGCACGGGCTGTAGGACCGCCCGTGCCAGCGCGAGCACAGCCTCAGACCGAGCGAGAAGAGGTTCCCTACGAACCCAGACCAGCCTGAGCTTCACAACCTGCACGCACTGCGCCTTCAGCCCTGCCTGCCACACCATCGCCTCATCCTCCAGAGCTGAATTTGAAGGGTATCCTGCTCCTCCTCTCTCCTCCCAGATGGCACAGGGACAAACCGGGCAGCGTTCCTGCACGCGGCGGAGGCAGGGAGAGCACTTACTGGCTGCGGTGAAGAAGGAGTTCACCAGCTTGTGGCGGTCCTTGCGAGCAGGGTCAGACAGGCTGCTGGTAGGCAGGGGGGCTCTGTGCTTGAGCGAGAGCTTTTTGGGAGGTTTAATTTTCTCGTAGGGTTTGTTCTGCCACTGAGATTTCAACATGCTCTGGAAGTGCAGGCTCGTCGGCACATCTGCAGAGGGATACGAAACACAGCGTTCAAATTAACTGAATTACAGAATCACAGAATGGTTTGGGTTGGAAGGGACCTCAAAGATCATCCAGTTCCACCCCCCTGCCATGGGCAGGGACACCTTCCACTACACCAGGTTGCTCAAAGCCTCATCCAACCTGGCCTTGAACACTTCCACGGATGGGGCAGCCACAACTTCTTTGGGCAACTCAGAAAGCTGCGGTACCATAATCCCCTCCCAGTCCCCCAGTAAGATCGGCCCCTGACAAACACACAGGCATCAACTGACGATAAATCCCAGGCTTGCCTACGCCTTCCTCATGTGCAGGGAGACCTGCAATGTCAGGACCCAACATTTATAATCTGAAGGCCTTTAAGAGAAGCACATTCCTACAGGATTCACAGCCCAAGTATACCCTGGAAGGAGAACGCAGCCTTTTTTCAGAAAAATCACACTTCTTTACCACCGGAGGTATCTCACATACTGCCACGCTCAATCCCGCTATCTCGGATCTGACTTCCAAGAATCTGAGATATCTCAGCACATCAACTCTACGGGCTGGAAGAGAGAAATTCAGCTTAAATCCTCAATTTCAGGTCAAGCCAAAAGCCAACCAAGTACTGTACGACGTTAATCTGCCTGATGCGGCACCTCAACCATCTAAAGCTGTGTAAGGGAGCACACGTCGGAGGCTCCAGGAGCCGAGATGCTGCTCGCCGGGAGCTCCCTGGGCAGGGGAGCAGCCAAACTCCCCGTAATTATCCGGGTAACCGATGTATTTCGAGCCTGAAGTTTCTGTGCACACCACGATGATGGTAATCCAGAGTCCCTGTCCCTGTTTGATCCTGCAAACTCACGCTGCACTGCTGCGGAGCTCAGCAGACGCTACTTTGGCCCACATTCCTCAAGCTTCGTTGCTCCCAAATCCCACACACATGTGCACTCCCGACCTTAGCCGAAAGGCAGAACACTAGTGAGATTATTCAGCGTGTCTCTTGGGCAGATAGGCTAAGCTATAGGGTAGATACAAAAAAAAAAACCAAACCCGAAATATTAACTGGACTAGCAAACCACTCCAGCCTCAGGAGTCCCACAAATAAGCCTTCCTTTCATATCACAGCTTCAAACTTCAGACCTGATCACCAAACACTGCTGCCTAAGTCTCCTCCAAGACCCAGCTCTCTTAGATATGTCCGAGGGCCAAAATCCTAGTTCAGAAAAGCATTAAAACCTTCAGGGTTAACAGGAGAACAACTGAAACAAGACATTTATCTTCTCCGTAAGACCATCACACACCAGCACTGGTGGTTTGATGTCCCACCCATCTGCTCTCCTCCTGCAGCACAGACCAGCAGACCACCACGGCCAGTCCGACGCCAGGTCATGCTGCCACAACCAGGAGTTAAAAGCACTAAGACGAGCAGCAGTACTACAAACATCCCTCCTCCACACCTCTCAAGTTCACATGACATTTCCACCAGGACTTTGAAGCAGAGATGAACCTTCCCAGGCCCTGCACGAGGAATAAAAGCTCCTCGTTCCGCAGAGGGGACACGGAAGCAATTAGGAGCTGTCGTGGGATTTAGACACTGCGTCGAGATAATCTCAGAGGGCAAGCGGAAGAGATTCAAGCCCTGTCGTAGTCTCCAAAGCCGGTATTCTGAAATTTCCCCAGTAATTCCAGGGACTGGAAAGCCCCAGCAGACCCGGGCAGGCAAAGAGGACGGCGAGACCTGGCAGAGCGCGGGCTGGAGTCGGCTGTTATTAATAGGGGGAACTTGACTCTCAGGACAAAGCCAGGACAGCTGCATTTCAAGTACCTGGATGGTTAAAGCTCTGGTTTAGCCCCATCCATGTGCTATGGAAGGGCTATCAGCGCGACGGCAGCTTTTTGGCCACCACTACTGGTTTGTGGAGACACGTCCCAAAGAACAGGGAAGGGCCAAGTCGGTTCTTTTAGGATGTTGCCAGCAACGCTGCAACACCGCTGCGCTGACGGGGTCTGACTTGGGAAAACGGCCTCTTTGCTAATCTTTTGCTTTCTCCTGAAAATTCATCCCACCCCAGCAGCCCACACGTCTGTGGCAGAGGGGACAGGTCTAAGGGAGGGGAAAAATGCAAGATGGAACGTTGTCAGCAGAAAATGAGTTATTTGCTGGCTTGTCACTGTCCTGCTGTCAGCACTGGTTGCCCCAGAGCCCGTGCGCAGCAAGTGACACTGTCACTCCTCCTCTTCCTCCTCCTCGGCCGCGCGGTGCAGGCCTCCCGGGGACCGGCAGATGGCAAACACGCCGAGCCCGAGAGCCCCGGCGCTCAGCCGCCCCACCAAGGTTATTACATCATCTGAAAATTCCCAGCGAGACATCAGATGAAGCAGGAAAAAAAAACCACCAAACACAAATCCAACCAACCAAAAAAATACCCTGGAAGGGGATGAAGCGCTTATGAAGCAAGTGGAAGGGGTTAAAAGCCCTGCTCGCCAGAAGAATAAATGACCTTTTTCCTCCTGTTGCCTGGCACTTTTGCCCTTGGCAAAGCCCACCGGAGATCCCAGGCTGCTGCTGGCACCGGAGGAGCCCTGGAGAGATGGGCTCAAAGTGAAAGCCGGCGCATGCTCACAGCCCCCACGGCCACGCTCCATCTCACGGCCCCACGAGCTCCTCTGGAAAGTCTGACCTGAGCCTGTGCCCATGGACACAGCCTCTTTGCTTTCAAGGTGGGATCCCAAATAATCACGTGGGAGCACCGACAGCAGCCTGGATTAATACTCACGGACACCTCCAGGCAGACTACCTTCAGGCAGAGCACTTCCCTACCTGAACACACCACCAGGCTTCATGTTTCAACAGAAAATTATCCTCATCCTCAAAAAGCAACCCTAGCAAAACTATATTAAACATTAATGAATAATCCCAGTTAATCCGTCGTTGCCTTTGCGGGGCGAGGAAGGGAATGAATGTTTTTGTATAGGTGT